TAAAAATCAATATCAGCCAACAAAAGCAAAAGCACTCATTTAAGAAGTATATACCGATAGTTTAAAAGAAGGTAAAAATACAAATAATTATGTGAATTATACTTTCTTAAGCTTATTATTATTAATGGTGAAAAGAGTCATTTAACTATTAAGCCATTCTTAACATGGCAAAAAAAATAATTTTTCCGAAAAATAAATGTAAAAATTTTAATATTTTGTTGCTTAAGAGAACGTTATAATTTTTTTTATAATCCACTTTTTTTAAATACAAAAAAGAAAATAGAAATCATGGCAGGATAAATATTTCATTGGCTAGCAGTTCCAAATACATAATACAAATCTGTGTGGGAGCTCCAAAATATCAAAACACTTTCCATGCTAGCAAATCTAGAAAATCTAATGCCAGTAAATTTTCGCATCCAGATATTTATTGATATTTTTTTAAACATAAGCGCAATAATTGCAGTCCTTAGTGCTGCCAAGTGTTGGAGATCAGTTGGGCGAGCTATTCAATGAGCCCTTAGCAACTTGCAAGGTATGTTTTGAAAACGCCAGCAGTGCTTTAGATAAGCATTTTGCTGTCATTCACACATTTCACTCTGCATCTTAGAAGTCCTGCGCAGTGTTCCTGCGTTTCTATCGCTTCCTTGCTTCCTTGCATTTCCTGCATCTGTCAGCCAACTGCCATGGCATGGGCAACTATTAAGAAGTACTATTCTCTTCACCTTAAATAACCAATTTTCCGGGTTATTTATCTGTATTTTGGTACGCCTTTCATGTCTACAGATGACTCTGAAAAAAGCTCGTAAAGGCTGAGGCAATCTAATCGAAAATATATATATATATATCTATATAATTCACTTTTCTGCCAGTACATTTCAATCTGTAATTGACCTTGGTATATAGAACACTTGAAGAGCTTTTGGATCTAAGCCCCCACCCCCTCGACATCGCACAATAGAAGTCGCTGCTATTATTCAATTCAATTCAATTGAATTCACAAATCAGCTCGTCTTCAATAATATTAACGCTTTGTTTGCACCACATTTGTAGCTGTTGTTGTTGTTGTTGTTGTTGATGTGTTTTTTTTTATGAGTTTCGTGACTTAACCGCCAGTTTGGCTTTTGCTGTTGTTGCCGTTGTTGTTGCTTTTTCTCTCTTATTTGACTCGCTCGCTTCAACGAGCGTATGAATGATTGATGAGCTGTTTTGATGAAAGTGTTGTATGATTTGTGTTAGTGTGCGAATACGAGTATATTGGAGTTGGAATCGTCAATTTTTGTCGATTGCCTATTGCCGACTGCTGCCAACATTTGTGTTTTGTTTTTGCAAAAATTGTAACGATAATTTATACAATAATTATTATGTTTTGTTTTTAAAGCAACTAACACACGTTAAGTGCACCCCTTCAATGGTGTATGTGTGTGTGTATCTGTGTGTGTGCCTGTCTTGGTGTCTGCTGTCTTGTTCGAATTATTGTTGTTTGGTGTTATGTTGTTGATTTGATTGATTATTTCACTGGCCGCGAACGCTTCAACATCTTTTATGAAATGCAAATTTTTGTTTGCCCCAGTGATTATGTGTGAGTGTGTAAGTTTGTGTTTTTTGTGGTATTTGTCATGAGCTTTGGCTTTAAGTCTCTGCCCAGCTTAAGCAATTTCGCAAATTAGACAAAAATCACATGCGCCACACAAAACGTGCAAGCCGTGGGCCAAAATAACAAAAACCTAAGCACGCCAAGTAGCTAAAGAAACAATCGCTTGTAACAATATGGACAGCGAATAAATTATCACCATGAGCTACCCATGCTGGGCAGTGTCCAAGTAGTGACAAAAATCACTTTTACTCAAAAGCCAGACCAGTGCTCGATATCGATAGCAGGACTTCAATGGAAACATGTACCATGTTGTAATGCAATCTGTTTTCATTATTCCTCTTTAAATAACACCGATTATTTTAATTTAATAATAATTCATTTTAATTTTCACAGAAACCAAATCAAAAACACTTAGAAAGCATATTTATAATACCAACTACATTAAATACTCATAAAAAATATTACAAAACTTATATCTTAATATATAAGAGCCAAACTAGTTCTTTAAAACCATGACAGAAACATATTGGTGTTCCATTTCCGCACAGCAAAATGTTAATTTCATATTTTTAGCTCTTGTTTCCCCTAAATTTCAAGCTCATTCAAATGAGAATAAACCTAATTTCGGTTCTATCTCCGCAAAACAATATAATTTGCCTAAATTATGATCAATTTCGACTTCCTTCCCAAATGAGAATGAGACAACAAATAAATGGAGCTGAAATAAATAAATGTTACCCAGAAACGATTTAAATGCTCTCGACTAGGAAGCAGAAACAGCAATTAAAAAATAGCAGTAGCTATACTTTTTCCATGTTAATAGTCGCTGTTCATACTCCCTCCCACATCTATTAATCAGTATTTCCAAACATTTCTTTTTTTTACAAAAATTTAATTATACCGATATTAAAAACAACTTAAACCATGTTAAATACATTATTTATTTTCTCACAAAAAGCACATACAAATTTTTACGTTACGTTTCGTCACTCATTTTTTGCGGCTTCGCGAGATTTTTCTCTTGGTTTATGAAGTAATTTACACGTCGTATCAGGCACAAAAATTATGTTTGACCCATTTTGCACAAAAAAGAAAAAAAAAAACTAAAAATAGGGGGAAAAAAATGTAAAGCCAAAAAACAAAAACACCCGCACAGTCGCTATCGCAGCATCAAATAAACTCCAGCCACTCCAAGCCACCAACGAACCAAAACCAAAGCCAAAGCTACCACAGCCCAATTACACTTAACAAACTCATTATGTCGGACAACAACAGCAACAGCCGCGCCAGCAACAACAACAGCAACAACAACAAAAATCACCAGCGGCTGCCCATATTTCATATAAATATAGGTACAAGCGTTGCTATTACAGCGCTCATGTAGCGAAAATCAGTGTTGAAATAAATTTAGCAACGTCTACGACATCTCGAATGGGTCGCGCCAAGCTCACGTGAAAGGCCAATGCTCTGAGTCCGGTCTCGAACAAGGGGCTTAGAACAAAGCGCCAGCTGTCAGTGCAAATGTTGACTAGCAAGTATTAGTGGGGATTTTAATACACTTCCTAATCGAGCGACATAAGAATATAAATTTAGTACTAGGCGAAATATTGACAAAGGCAACAAAATATCCGTACTCTAGTGGGGATAACCATTAGTTCTGATGACATTTAAAATCGTTTTATATCACAGTTAATGAATAAAATGTATTACATTTTACAGTATATATTTGCAGAATATAGTATATATCCATTTCTAAATTTTAAACGGTAATTTACTAAACGTGCTGACAAACTAATGAATATCCTAAGGAGTTATATTTAGGAAACAATCTCAAGACTAAATACCAGCTACTAAGCCCAATAAAACTGGATAAATTGTCAAACAAATCCAATTGATACTTGTCTACAAATTATGATATCGTTCATTTGAAGCCAGCCGATCGATTTAGAAATAAATTTAAGTTTTCTAATGAGAATGTTTTCGAAAGATGCGTAAGAAATCAAGTGACTTCATTCTTCTTAAAATTGACTGCAGAAATGGGGATTTCTTCCATTTCCCTAAAAGACTATTAAAGAAATTTTCGAAGCCTTAGCTGCTAAGGCTTGCAATTTCAAATTGTACGTAGAATTAACAATAATAATAATAATAAATTATTTTTCTATAAATTGCTTTTATCAGCACTACTTATATTTGCAGTGAGAAACATTTGTAAGATGCAACAGAAATATTAAAAAATTGTTTTGTTTTTTACTGTATTTGGGTCTATTGTATTTTAAAAATGTAAATAACAGTGGAACAATATTAAATGAATATACAAAACTTGTAGATTTTCCAAGAAGAGATTTACGAATTTCTTCACAAGAGATAGCAAAGCATTTTGACTACTTGTAACATGACATTTCCAATAAATACTTTCTCAACACATTTTTAAATAAAAAAGATTTTTTAAATTAGGGGTAGCATGTAATAAGAATCGACAAGTAGCGCTTGTCTTGATTTTTATTAAAATAATATATTTGTTCTATATTGCCAAACAATCCGCTTAACATATAATTTCCAATAGAAATTCTAAATTAAATACATATATTGTAAGCTATTGTAATTATGTCCGCTCCAAAACCGTATCGTTCTTACTGAACTACTCGTGTATTGAGAGTGAAGGCAAGCTTTTAAGCCACAATGTTAGTGATAAATTAGTTGGCTGCGCACTTCTAGCCAAGCAAAGTGCACGGTCGATGGATGATGATGAGAAATGCCATCGATAGCGATTGTTGGGCGCTGAAATGGAAACCCTAAGAGCTCTCTATCAAAACTCTATCAGCTCAAAAGTTTGATTTGAATGTAGGTAGGCAATTAATATTAGTGTAGGATGTCATGTTGTATAAGGCGAAATACTTAGTATATAGTATGCATGCACTTGAGTGTTGGCAACAGGAAAGCACAACTTTCGCCCCTGCCCTCATCATGGAGCGTCACATGTTCGCCAACACATTTCACCACTTCATGTCAAACGTCAGGCATGCCAAGATACACATTCAAAAGCCAAAAGTGAACGATCGAACCGGCGTATATATGTACTTGTATGTATGTACATACGAGTATATACATGTACATACATGTAGATATGTACATACTCCGTGAAAACGAATGGGTGAACAACAAGCCACCACCAGAGGCTGACGGTCCACTCGAGCTTGTAACACTTCACGTGCCCGCCGCTCTAGTGGCCCCTTGAAGCCATGTTGATTTGTTTGCCGACGCGTCGCCGCCGGCCGCGGGCCATTGGCGCACGTTCGACACAAAGCGGAAGCATTTTGACTGATTTCTTTCTCTTTATAATTTTTTTGTATTTTCATTTATTTATTTTTATTTTTTTTGTTTGCGTTTCATTGCAGTCGAATTTCCCGAAGAGGATGGCGACATGTTGATGGAACCGAACGACTTTGCACCCATCACAGTATTGCGTTCGCAAGAGCATCATTTCCATATGCCGCCCACGACAACAACGTCGGCGCTGCTTCATCACCAACAGCCACAGGCGCAGCTGCAGCAACCCCTGCTTCCCTCAGCCCCCAAGCCAAGACGCTTTCAGGCGCCTGTCCCAACCGGACAAGAACAGTTCCGACCCATACCCAATCCGCAGCTAATCGCAAGGGCTGACATCGTTGGGGGCAACATCGACTCGCATAGTCAAGCGGCACAGAACTTCTATCCGCCGTTTTATCATGAGGCACCACCATTGGGTCACTCGCGTCCCTACTTTCCGGGCCCACCCGATGGCGCACCCGTTTTGCCAACAAAATACGCCGAAGGACCCGTCCCACCCCAACAGCGAGGCTTCGATGCAGCCATTCTAGGATCTGGCGATTTTGGCGTGCTGCGAGGTGGCACTTTCTATCCCGAAGAGGAGATGCCCTACCATCAGGAGGACAACAGTGACTATATCTACAGCGATGCAAATAATGGTCATGGCCGTCCAACGGAGGGCTTTGTACAAAAGTACACCTATCCGGAGGAGCAGTTCGCCAACTTCCGCGATTTTGCCGATATAAATACGCCCGCTGATTCGGCCTTCTCCCAGTTTGTGGTTGTCTATGCGGCTAAGAATGCTACGAAATCCAATACGCATCCGCATCCGAAAAATATTTTCGAACAACTCGAACTGCTGGATCGCCAGAAGGCGCTCGAGGAGAAGGCGCTGAAAAAACAACAGCCCAGCAAGTCCAAATCGAAGCTCTTCAAGACGAAGTTGCAAAAGAAGTATAAAAAGAAGTTGAATCCCAAGAATATCGATTTGGAGCCGTTGCTGGCGATGAGTTAAGCTACCTACTACCCTAACCTATATCCCTCTCTTCCTCTTCGTCACATTCCTTACAAGTTGCCAGTGAATGGTTAAGCTTGTATTATATAATTTCATTTATTCACTGCTAATTTTATTTATTTTGAATGTGAAGCCGTGCAAACATAAGTGCCGGAATTGAGACCGGAACTGATGATTAATATACAAAGTAGTATTTGAAGATTTATGCTATGTTTTGAAGGTCAGGGTCAGGTCAGTTCACATGGGGAAATAGTTTTTATAGGACACAAAACATATTTTCCAATTTTTGGAAGTTCCAATACAAATTTCGTAAATATTTCGAAACAAATGTCTTAAATGATATCCAATTTATTTACTCTACGCCATAGCAATAAATTCAAATTGGGGGAGCACCATCTTTATGAAAATTAAAGAATATATTCTTTCCCTATGTCCACCTGTACCTTCTGAATTCTTCAGCAGTGTTCTGGTTCAAAAAAGCAACAACAAATTGGCACTTATGCCTGTTTGGGGCTTTAGTTATAACGAAAGGCGAAAGGCAATAGCAACCGCAAGGAAAATGGCAAAATGCTTATTTTTCTCACTTCGGCTTTTCTCAAGTACCTTTTAAGATTTCTTTATGTTAAGTTTCTCATTTCCCATTCAATTCTCCACAAATCTAACATCTCTATGTAGAAATGCATTAGTTACGATAATTAACGTGTGTGTTCTGCTTATTTTTTTGTTTAAATTTAATATATATATATATATATATTGAATAGATTATATATTCGCTGAAAAGGGAAGGGCTCAGTAGGAGTAAAGTAAAAGACAATAGTCGCGGACCGCCGTGCGTCTGTTCGCTTTAGAGTTTTATTGGAGACTGACACTTTTGCTATACATATTCTTTATGCTTACATTCGTATGCAACAGTGACAGATAACTTGTAGATAACATAAGATTATTATCTGCTTATATTAACATGCGTGCATTGGTACTTATGTTTGTATTGATTTTCAACACCCTTCCTCAATGCAAACATGTTTTACAAAAATTTTCAAATCAAATTTAACAGCTTTGTAAAATGAACATGCTTCGCTTTAGGGAGATTTTTCGTTAAAATATCAGCTATCATTTCATTGGTTGATGTATACTGTAAAACAATTTGTTCTTCGTTTACAACCTGTCTTGCAAAATGATATCTAATATCAATATGCTTTGTTCTTTCATGGTGTACAGGATTCTTAGCTAATTGTTGAGCACTTAAATTATCGCCATGAAGAATAGTTGGAGTACTCGAGTCACCGCAGCCAATCTCCACTATAAGACGCCGTAGGTATATGGCCTCCTTACACGCAGTTGAAAGAGCCATATACTCCGCCTCCGTGCTGCTAAGTGCCACGCTGCGTTGCTTTTCAGATCGCCAGGATATGGGTCCTCCAGCCAAGTGGTATACATAGCCAGTATACGACTTGCGATCGATGCGGTCGCCACCCCAGTCTGCATCCACATAGCCGGTAAGGGGTTGTCCACACTCTTTGTAGTGCAACTTCAGGTCCACAGTTGACGCCAGGTATCGAAGCACATGTTTTACACCCACTAGGTGCTCTGCATGCGGATCTTGATTCCGTTGAGCTAACTTGGCAACGGAATGCAATATGTCTGGCCTTGTTGTAAGCGCCAGCCACATTAACTCGCCAATTGAAGACTGGTAGGATGCAATGTCAACCTTTTGACAATGCTCGCTGGTACATATCACTTGGAAACCAGCATCCAGTGGGGTCGCTGTAGGTCTACAGGTCTCGCATCCATGTTCACGCAATATGTCTTTGATGTATTGCGAATTGCTTAGCGAAATTTCGCCAAGCTCACCGTCGCGCTGCACTTCCATGCCAAGGAACAAATGCAGCTCTCCCTTGTCAACACATTCAAACGATGTTGTAATGGCTGACTTGATGTTGGCCAAGTCCTCTTTTGATCGGCATGCTATAATTATATCATCAACATAAACAAGGATTAATGATAAGTCACCTCTTCCGTTCCTTTTGTAAAGACACGGTTCATTTTCACATGCTACAAAATCTATGCCTTGTAGTACACAATCGAGCTTGGAGTTCCACTCGCGCCCCGACTGCTTCAATCCATATATTGCCTTTTTAAGCAATAAAGCCTTACTTGGATTATTGGGATCTGTGTATCCCTGTGGCTGCTTCATATAAACAGTTTCATGCAGGTCGCTATTCAAATAGGCGGTACACACATCTATCTGGTGAAGGTACAGCTTCAATTCCGCTGCTAACGCCAAAATAAACCGCACGGTTTCCAATCTGCAAACGGGTGAGAACGTCTCTACATAGTTCACGCCATACTTCTGGGAGCACCCTTTAGCAACGAGTCGTGCCTTGAAACGTTCGACTTTTCCATCAGAGTCACGTTTCAGGCTGTATACCCACTTGCAACCAACTGCTCGCTGATCTTTTGGTAAATCAGCCATCTGCCAGGTTTCGTTTGATTGTAGTGCCTGATATTCCTTTTGCATCGCCTCTTGCCAGAATACTGCATGTGTGCTACCAACGGCCTGATCATAGGATGTCGGAACCATTACGTCACTAGCAACCAATGCTCCAAGCACATTGTATTGCTTTCTTGGACGACCAGGTTTACCATTTCGAACAATTTTAGGCCGGCCTGGCCCAATCTTCACAGTATCCTCGTCAGAGTCTTCTTTTTCGACTGCACTCTCATATGCGTTGGAGCTGCTGTCGTCAGAACTGTGCTCACTGTCATCGTCGTCGATGCTTCTGTCACCATCCGTGTGAGTGACATGCTCTTGAACCTCGCATGCAGGAAAATCTACCGTAACGGTATCTTCATTGGTATGACCACCACAACGCTCATCAAATAGAATGTCTCGTTTTTCGACAATCGTCCTCGTCTCTGGGTCGTATAACCGATAGCCTTTGGCTGCTACCGAATACCCAACCATACGGTACTCATGCCCTTTGGGTTTGAATTTGCCTTTACGGGGACCCTTTGCAAGTGCAACTGCAATGGAACCAAAAACTTTTAGATGGCTAACACAGGGTTTCTTACCTGTCCACGCTTCCATTGGAGTCAGGTTGTTCAGTGCACTGGTAGGTGATCTGTTTCTTATGTATACTGCTGTGTTGACTGCTTCGGCCCACAAAGACTCGCCTAGGCCCGACTGCACCAATAAGCATCTGGACATCTCCGTTAATGTCCGGTTTGCTCTTTCCGCCACGCCGTTCTGCTGCGGAGTATAAGCCACGGTCAATTGCCTTGCAATACCATGGTGTTTCAGGAAACCGTTGAATGTTGTGTTGACAAACTCGCCTCCATTGTCGGTTCGAATACATTTGAGCTTTTTATCTGTTTGCCGTTCAACCAAGTTTTTAAATTCGACGAACTTACTGAACACTTCATCTTTCTTCCGCAAAAAATAAACAAATATACGCCTGGACTTGTCATCGATGAAGGTCAGAAAGTATTTGGATCCAGCAAGTGACTTCGTGTCGAATGGGCCGCATACATCAGCATGAACCAGTTCCAACAGCTCTTCGGCACGGTTAGTGCTTACCTTTGGGAATGGCTGTACATGTATTTTGCTTAGCATACACGTTTTGCAATTCAAGTTGTCTGGGAAAACAACCTTTCCAATACCACGCACTAGCTCTTTGCTGATCACTTCCTTCAGACTGGTAAAATTTAAATGGCCATAACGCTTATGCCACAATGTACCATCTGATTCAGTTGCGGAATAACACCTATTTTGTTTGCCTTGAAACATATAAAGGTTCCCAACTTTATTCGCTTTCAGTATACACTCGCCGTTTTGTATAACTTTAGCAAAATGTGGCCCAAAATGTATAACATTGTTCTTTTGCACTGACCGGCTGACGGACATAAAGTTGCCATTCATTTTCGGTACATACAGTACATCTGACAACACCAAGGTACAAAGTTCTGTCTGTAACTTCACCTCTCCTCTGCCTTCGGCCTTCAGGAAACCAGCGTCAGCTAAACCGATCATTTCAGTGTGCGCAATAAATTTTGAAAATAACGTCTTATCGCAACACATATGGCTTGTTGCTCCGCTGTCCAGACACCACATGTTGTTCTCTATCTTTCCAACGTCCAACGCATTTAACAAGCTGCTCTGCTTTTCCATCTCTTTCTTTGTCGATTGCTTTTTCCCTTCACCGCGAATTTTCTCACGCTTGCACTGTGCCTTGTAGTGCCCTTTTTCGCCGCAGTTGTAGCAAACGACGATTTTTGAATTCCTTTTTGAATTCGCTTTGGAATGCGCGACGATCTGCTGCGTAGCTATAAATGCTCTTGCATTCTCGCTCTCTCCATCTGCATTGCCTCTGCGCTCTCCCTCTTCCATCAGCTTGATACATAACACATCAAATGACGGTAAATTGTCACGCGTCTCAATGGCGACGACAAAATTTTCGTATGGTTCGGGCAAGCTTGACAACAACACGATTGTTTTTAACTCATCATTTAATTCGATGCCAACTGTACACAAACCATCCAGAATTTCGTTAAATTCGTGTATGTAACTTGAAATGCTTTGGCCTTGAAACATGCGTTTGCCTAGCAATTTCTTGTACAGCGACACTTTCCGTACAGGTCCACTCGGCTGATGAACGTCCTTTAACTTTTTCCATGCCTCGTACGAAGTGTTGCAATTTTTAATGAAGCCCAATTGTGAAGCTTTTACACTTAGCGTTATAATTGCTAATGCCTTTTCATCTTTTGGCCTTGAACTCTCAGTATTACTAGGTTCAGCACCTGATGCCACACTCCACAATTCCGCGTGCACTAAGACAGATCGCATCTGTATGCTCCATGAGTCATAGTTATGCTCTTCCAATTTGTCTATTTGATATAGCGCACTCATTTTTTAAATGTTATATTTCTTGAGTCACCAAACGATTACTATTTCACAATACTTTGAACTTCTCCTATGAGCCTATATGCCCTGGGCCCATAACCTATTGAATAGATTATATATTCGCTGAAAAGGGAAGGGCTCAGTAGGAGTAAAGTAAAAGACAATAGTCGCGGACCGCCGTGCGTCTGTTCGCTTTAGAGTTTTATTGGAGACTGACACTTTTGCTATACATATTCTTTATGCTTACATTCGTATGCAACAGTGACAGATAACTTGTAGATAACATAAGATTATTATCTGCTTATATTAACATGCGTGCATTGGTACTTATGTTTGTATTGATTTTCAACAATATATATATATATATATATATATATATATATATATAGTAATTGTAATTGTTATTTGTAGTTCTAGGCCAACATTTTTGTAGCGTATTTTTATAATTATGAAAAACTAAATCTAATTTTAATTGTGTGTACATAAATCTTTGTTAAATGTAATATAAAAATAAATAAATAAAATTTAATTTTAAATCAAATATGGGAGTTTTGATTCGGAAATGAAGAAATGGTTTTAATTTCTCCAATCGTGTTGACAAGGAAATAAAATTTCGAAAATTACTATATGGCCGATTATACTTTTTTTCTCACTCATACTTATCCCTGAGCGCACTTAATAATGTAGTGAACGAGCCCGCTGTACGAAAGATCTGCAATGGGAAGGTAACAATGTATTTATGAAGGTGATGTCCTTTTCAGCTTACCCAGACCATCAATGGCCTGCCGAGCGAAAAGAAATAGCCACTCAAGCTGATTTCCTTCTGAGATCGCAGCATGGGAAACAGTAGGAGGCGCCTCATGCCGGGCAACAGACTCTGCCAAGGCAGCTTTTCGTAAAGCTGTAATGAGAACAATCGGGCCTGCACAGAACCCCAACTTAGTATGTTGTACGATTAGGAAAATGAAATTATCTGTTGACCTCTTGACGTAGCTGTTCGGCACCAAAGCCATAAATGCACAGCTGCGTGGTAACCACCATGGAGAAGAAGGCGAGAAAGGCGTAATTCTGATTCGTTTGTGGCATAATGTACTGACATATAACCGAGCAGTATAGCAAACAAATCAACAGCACCTCAACCAACACAATCTCCCGAAAGGCCTCATCGAATCGCTGCACCAACGACAACACTCCACAGTGTTGTCGAAACACGCGCGACATCTCGAGCTCAAAACGCTCCGGGCAGTCCGAAGAGATAATTACGGCCCGTTCGAGGCACAACCCGAGTGCTCGAAAGTGCGCACTAAGTCCAAAGATGAACCAGCCATAGAGCGTGTCCACACCGGTGGTGGAGCAGCAGAAGAAAGTCAGCACGAAACACATAATGAGGCAGTCCAATACATAAATGTGCGGTTGCGTAACATCGTAGGGAAGGCTGAGCAAAGTAGAGTATTGCTTTAAATATAATATCAGTGTCAAATAATTCTGGGCGCTATTGTAAGCTCTTAAACTGGCCTACATTTCTTGAACTGTAAAAGACTCGATGATAGGCTTGCAACGCAAAAATAAACACTCATTTTTTTATGGCATCCCAATAAACAAACAATTTGTTCTACTAAGACTGATTTCCTTCCCTTTCCCTTCGATCGTTCCTATTGCCACTGCTTCATATACTTCAATTAATTCCAATTTATTTGCGTTAATTTCTTAAAAAGCTCTATGGAAACTTCTAATCTAATTGCGAAATTGCAGCTGAATCTGGCTTCATTTTATATTTATTAATATCTGCAATATAATTTTACAACGGTTTTTGGTCAAAAAACCGATGAAACTTTGAACCTTGAACTTTGAAATGTACGCTACTAGCTCTTAAGGTTTGAGTTATGTGCTAATTTTTAATCAGTCACTTAGTCAGTCAATGTCTGATTATTTATACTTAATTGGCTTCCAAAGTTATGGACAGACAAGGAAATAATTAAGCCATTTAGCCGATAATATGATCCAGATTCAGAAAATAGTACTCATAAGTGAGGCTTTAAAAAAGATAAATAAACTTTGCTAGATTTGATATAATAACTTAGTTGTGGAAGGAATACTTATCGAGTATCCGGCAGTGCTTATTGCTTTCTTCTGAAGGTAATAAAAAAAAAAAATAGAGCTGGGCAGTAACTAAACATGACCATGTCAAGATCTTACGAGCTGCTTGAAAGGACTACCTCGATAGAATATTAAATACTTTATATACTGCCTATACTTACACCACACGAAATGCACTGAACGGCTCTAACTCTCCATTGGCAAGGTATCGCAGGAGTGTCAGAACCACGGGCATAAGCAGAAAGGATATGCTCGTCAGGGCACACATAAGAAAGTATATGGCAGAGAGCTGCTGACCGCGTCGTTTCCATTGCACCTCCAATTCCGGGTCCTGCACATCTGCAATGAGATCGACAACCACTCGTGCTTTCCGTACGAAAATGAACATCTTTAGTAGAGACGAAATCATCTGTATGCCATGCATCAGGGCCTCCGAGAAGAGGACTATATGATTGCGGTGCACACACATGAAGGCAATGACAGCGCACAGCTCGAAACTGGTGGCCAGTGCCATGATGATGTAGCGCACGGGTCCGTATAGAACCCGCCTTGGGGCCTTACACTGCAGATCGAAGCCCATGCGCTCAAAGGTGAAGCGCTGCGTCCATAAGTCTGAAAAACAACGTTCGAGCAGCTGTGACATGTTGAGGCGTACCGAGTCGGGCCGGAAATGAACAAAAATTAAGCAATTGGCTACGCTGCTTAGGTGGACAGACAATTAGCCGATGGGAAGCAATTAAAAATATATTTTTTCTTTTTGTTCTTTGTTTTTTTGTAGTTGTTGTTGTTTTTGTCATTGTTGAAAGTTTCTCAGGCCTCATGCTTAATTGGCTATATAAATAAAATTTAATTTGCTTGTCTTAGTAAACGCCCCAACAACGCCAACTTCATAAGTTGGTAAGTGAGACTGCATGGAAAATGATTTAATTATATGCTCATACCTATGTCCGTCCAATTGTCCGGTCATGTCCACGGCCTGCCTGCCGCACCTACAAGCCACCAGCAACGCCCAGCCTGTCAGCTGAGCGATTGCTCGACACACTGCATCAAATCCATAAAAAAAACATTATTCTAAGAATGTGTTTCGTATCTTAAAGATTTGTTGAATTCGACATAAAAGGACTTGGTATAATAGGACATGGAATTTTCCATTTTAGTTGAAATTATATTTTTTTAAATATTTGTTGACTTCACTTGGCTGTGATTCAGGGCATAGCTAGCGGAATGATAAATAAAATCCGCCCATCGAGGCGGGGGCATTTATTAAATATTATTGTAATTTCATTTGATTTTTCCAACATAGGCTTTCCTAGCTTATAAGGCTTTTTATCGGCAGTCTTTGTTTGTCGACAAACAATAAATTAATAAAAATGAACTGAAAATTAATATAATATATAACTAAAAAAAATTAAATTGAATTAAATGTGAGGGACGGAAAAAAGGGGGGAAATGACAGCATAACTGGCACAGCAGATTTTCAGGGAAGTAAGCATATGTATTATTGAGCGCGCCTCTCAGAATGAAACGAGAATGGACTTGATGATGGGAATAAAGCAAGAGGTTAAGCAGTCAGACGGCATAGAAGAGATTCACTTTAGTTATTAAATAAAATAAAATAATGCTCAAGTCAAAATATAGATGGAGGGACTGATGACGGCAATGTAGATAATTTTAAATCGAAGATATGTTTTAAAATGGTATTGATTGATGGATATTTTTATGAAAAAAATAAGAAGATTCCGTAAGTAAGGCAAAATACGTAAAGAATCGTGAAAATGGAAACGAAACACGTTGGTTATTGATATTGAATTATTAAACAAGTTATAAAAAGGCCGCAATAACTCTTTTACTCAATAATTAGACAATAAATTAAATATATTTTAATAGAGCATAGAAGTGCAAAATGAAGTAAACTCAGCTCTATAGGCGGTTTATTTCTATAATAAAAATTGCATGTGTACGATTGGACGTAGAAGGAGAATTATTTAATTTATGGAAATACAATCAGATTAGACCAAATGCTCTTTAAAGGACACTATTGATATTTTCCTAATCTTTCTGTTGCTTTTCAGTATAATATGCTTTGTCAATAAAGCGGCTTAAAATAATTGTGCTTTCTTTTATTATCCCATTAACCAAAAGCAATACGTATAACTGTTGCTTAACGTAGATGTTTTGAAATATTTTTATATTCGCCTTGAGTATGTTTATTGCAGAATTTCTTTCGGAAATATTCGAATATTATTCAGCTCTGTGACGCCGAGAGAGTGAGAAACATGACAAACGATCACCAAACGCTGATCATTTACCGAACTGTTTTGGTGAACACAGCGCACACATTGTAAAAATTTGACATTGACACAGATATTGATCACTTTCAATTCAATTTACAAAAATTTACGTACTTCGATGACGGACCAAAGTTTGAATATACTCGTATTTATCTGATCAACATTTGTTTCTAAGTGGCACAATTCAGGGAGATTGTAATCGCCCCCAAAATGTGTGAATATGTGGGATTATTTTTTGAAGTGTCAACTACAATTGCAAACACACAGATTATAGGGTATTGAGTTGTGGAGAATGTGAGAAAAGTTATGTGAGAGTTAACCACTGTGCCACCGTCATGCTTAACGGTAACATGTGGCTGCTGCTGCTGCTGCTGCTGTGCTGTTGCCCGTCACGGTCATTGTCCGCTAGCGGTTCGCATTTTATCAGAGATATGAATATAGTATACGAGTATATGTATACCACATGCTTGGTGTTGGCTACGACGGCCTTATCTGGGAGCGCATTCTACTTCTGTAGTGTCACAATTCCCGTCTTTGGCATGTTTTGACATTTGGAGGCTGGCACTTAATTTACTGCCTCACCTTTATATGCAGATACGAGTACTGGCGAACATGTCTGAGCGTACACGTATGAGACACGCGCATGGGTGCGTATTGATTTAGCTCGATAGTAACTGCAACAAAATACAAAAACAATAACAGCAAGAACAACCCCTCTTATGATTTTAATTAACTACAGGCCAATGTTTTTTTGTTTGCGTGCATTTAATTAAAAACTCAATGTAAATGTGACAAAAATTCAATTATATCTAAGTATGCATAAGTATCGCCCACATTTTTTAGTGAGCAGTGTGAGAAAATGCAAAACTTGTTCCGTACCACAACCACCAGTCGCACGATCAGAGCACATGACTGTGTTTTCTAATCTAATTACAGTGCACTGATTTGCTATAATTATGCTGCGATCGGGGTCCCACACTGCGTATACTTCATAGTCGCTTACGTGCATTTTATTCATTCAATCACGTTTTGATTATTCCAATTTGTCATTTGTCAGTGGCAGTTTTCGTCAATTTCGTGCTAATTTTACACCTCGCTCTGTCGTTATTCGTTATTTGGAATCAAGTAACTTAATAAGCAGCCATGGCCGAACTCAACAAAGCACCACTGAGTTACGAGTAGATGAGTAATGTAAAAATTACAGTTATTATATTTAGTTGTTGCTGGCTTCATTTTCGTTATGACTTATTATTGTTGTTTTTATTTTTGGTTTTTTCTTTTTGGTTTGTATCTATGTACATATGTTGGCGCACTTACAGAACAAATTGATCTGTGAAAAATGTGCAAAGCAAATTGAGCGAAATGCATTTTTAAATGGCAATTATTTCTATGCATAATTATAGGTATACATACATATACATATGTACGTAGTATTTGATATGCAAGCGGGCGTGTTAGCTCACAATATTCAATTTCATTTGAATAATACCAATATTTAAATCAATTTGCATTCTTCAGATATCTGATTAATTTCATGTTTACATATCTTTCAATAATTGCTGTTCTTTGGCAGGTAAGCAATTCTTTAAATTTAAATTGACAAACAGTTTTCATTGTATTGCTATAAAACAGTACACAAATAAACAATAAAATGAGCTTCTTTGGCAGCTTCAGAAGGATTAGAAACTAGACCATGAAAAGCATAATTGAAGCACCAAATATTTGGGTATATAGATATCTTTACGCGTAAATATGTTGTTAACTTTAAAAATTGCAACGGTTTTCCTTTTAAAGAAATTCAGACCAAGGCCTAAACCAAATTCGAATGGAATAGAAATTCATGCTCGAACTTTCGCAACTGGTATTTTATTAATAATTTTGTTTCTTAGCTGGCTGACATTTTATAAAGTTGTTTTCGCACATGCCTATTAGTTTGGACATTAATGTAAAAGCTTTAAAATATGTGATTTCTGGCCATATTGTGCGCATTCACAAGAGCTCTTTAATCATTGATCACCGATCAGTCCCTGGTGAGCTCAATGATCATGATCACATAAATATGTAGCATGATTTATTAGTGATCATTACTTATAAACTGTTTTTGTTTATGCATTGGCAAGAGCGTATGAAAATAAATCAAAACACTGCTATTTTTTTTAATGAATTTGCTGACAATATTGTCTATATTATTTAAAAATAAAAAACTCCACTTGAGATCTTACAAAACTTTATCAACTTCTGTAGAATGATTACGACTACTTTTGGGTTACTTATAAAGGCAGATGCAACGTTTTATAATTTATAGTTCTTTATAATGTATATTTTTTGTTGTGTTTGTTTGTTTACTTCTAAGCTTAGCAAACAAAAGCATTTGTGTAGATCTATTGATTTAACGTATTCATTTATATAGAACAATCATTCTACTATACAGTACCTTAAAACAATTTAAAAACAGTTATTTGTTAAAATAATGAAAAATGATAACCGTTTGGGTAGCTCATACGTGTAAGTATAGTATATGTTTGTTATTTTCTTCAAGGTTTCCCTAAAATAGAAGCTACTGATGTGTCAGCAAATCGTTTTTGCCACTCCCTAGATGAAGTAACAACAACTCTATGCTGCCGGGTGTCGTTTGATTTGTCAGCAGGGCGCGTTGACACAACTGAACAACAGTTGTTGTTGTGCAACACAATATTGAAGTCAATTTGCAACACAATCCACAAAAAAAAGAAGGAAAACTAAGAAAAAAAAAAAATGAAACTCATTTAAAACTCGAACACCCACTGCTGGAATATTGGCAAGAAATCTAAACAGCATCAGCGACCCACGAGCATGCAAAGTCGGCATTAAAATAAAGCATTTCAGAACAGTCGGCATATCGGACTGTTGAATACCTTTTCGGGGGCGAACTCCAAAAATCACAGTAAAACGCATTAACTAAGTAAAACAGTGACAAATTCTATTTGAAATGTAACAAACTGAAGCCAAAGTAAATGTAAAGAACTCTGAATCTGTGCTGTGGGTTCCAAAAATGGATTATTAAACACACACACACATACGTACAAGTATGTATATAGTGAGAGACTTAAACACTTTACATACTTTAAGCACTTTTGTCTGTTGCTTTTGGTTATTTGCGTTTCGTGCTGCTGAAAGCTTTATTAATATCCAAATCGTGCGCCTAATTGAAATTTATTGTTAATGAAAACAAATTTATGGCAAGTGACTATGGGCACTTGGCACGAAAGAACCAACTTTGTATCATTTGCAGTGACGCGTTGCTCAGCATAAAGCAACAGAAAAGACTTACAAAAAATAAACCAAAATAAATAAATAAAGAGAGATACCAAAA